ATCATTTGTGATAAGGAAACACAGACAAAATTACATTTCTATTAGGCTGATGTGTAACTGGTTGGAAAGCTGTTCTCAAGAAACAGTTAATTATGCTTCACTGTCAGACAAGATGCATTAAAGCATGCTCTCCAGGGACTGTACAAAATTTAATTCATGATTGAAAAGATGAAATTAGCATTTAATGGTACTCATACTACCTGGAAAAATACTACAAGATATTATGATCTTAAGAAATTATTTTAAGAATTTTGTTCAAAAAATGACATGTAATGACAATAAAGACGAATACCAACTTCTGTGTTTATATAGAAGTAATCTTTTGCATAAATGCAAGTGAGGGAGGATTGACTCAGCAGCAGTCCTGGAGACAATAGGTGGATCACAAGTTGCACATGAGACACCAGTATATTTTTATAAAGGATGTAACTGTTGTACTAGGATACATAGAAAAGAGGATTATTTATAAAGCATACAAAGTGGTTCTTTTATTCCTCTTTACACTGGAAAAGACTTCTTTCTGATTTGGAACACCACAACTGGAGAAGGATTCTGACCAACTGGACCAATTCCAGAGGAGAACAAGAGTGATCAGAAAGCTAAGAAATACAACTTGTGAGAAAACATTAAATAAATAGTTTGTTCAATCTGAAGAAGAAGAAACTGAGGAAATATGACTTTCAAATATAGAAGAGAAAAGAGAAGAAAACAAAGCTTTTTCCACATTCTATTCAAAATAAGTTCAGGCTAAATATCAAGATAAGTTTTCTTATTGTATTTTTGCTCTTAGATAATGAGGTGTTGAGACACATTCCCTGGGGAGATTCTGAAGTACTCGTCATGTTCTAGAAGAGGTAAATCAGGTATCTGTGAAAGATAGTTTAACATTTCTACTGTAGCCCAACAGAATATGATCTTTGATGGTCTCTTCACACCCATTTTCTATTATGTCTATGATTATTTTTTCTCACAAGTTAAATAGTAAAGTCTACTCCTCCCTATTGTTTAACTCAAATTCCATGGCCAGGGAGGCTGCTGTCCCCTCATTCTGTCCAACTTTGTGATTCCCACATGTGAGCAAGCAAGAAAATCCCTACTGCCAATCATGACAGACCAGCTGAAGCAACTGTGGTAGCAAAGAAACTTATTTCTCTATCAATTAAATGTCCCAGGACTTTGCTTTTCTCTCAATCTGTCACAGTGCACTAGGAGATGCACTAATAGATGCTAATGGCCATGACCTGTGTCCCTGGGGGTCTCTACTCACACCTGTGGGCACAGGGACACCAGCTCAGCCCTGGGCTCTTAGTCCCTGGTCTGTGCTGCGTGGGTACCGACCTTCAGCTCAGCTGCAGCCAGACCTGTACATTACTGCAAACATTGAGCCAGACCCTGACTCACAGACTGACTTTGTTGAACCTGTCTCAAGGCTATGGACCTGCCTTGAGATCCATGGGCTGTGTTTGGTCATGGTTACTCTCATTGGGCCTGGTACTAAAGGGTTCATTTCCATTTTTAGTTCTGGTGAGGTTCTTTCCTTGTCAACTCTTTTGCTCTTTCCCTATATCATATATATATATATATGTGTGTGTGTGTGTATAAACACATCAATATTTACATATATCACCAGCTGCACAATTTCTTTGGGCTGGTTAAGCCATTACTCCTGCACATTATCTTCAGGTGTCCATGGACTGAATCAAGTAATTTCCTTATGCCTCACACCCAGGTGTCCTGAGCTAGTCCTCAGAAGTGTTTTTCCCACTTATGATTTCATACAGGAAGTCAGATGAGAACCAAATTGGTTTTGTATCCAAATGGTTTCCTTCAAAAAAATGTGTTCCTATACACCTGTCATAAGCTTCTCCTGAACATGGTTTTGGTTCTTCATACTTCCATTTTTTCTTGAAGGGAGAAGTTTCTAGAGGCGGGGTATCTTCAGATTTTTGTTGTTAAGAGGCCTTTAAGTTTTAACGTTCACAGAACTAGGTGTTTGAGATCCAAAGTTGTTTGTGTCAGCAGCTGAGAGGTTGAAAGTCAGGAGTGCCAAGCAGGATAACCACCAGTGAAACCTGTTATGAAAACACCAAAAAGGAGCCTCCCTCCAAGATTAATATACATTCCACCAGAGCTCAGTCTAAATTAGTGGCTTTCTTGAGTGGTATCTCCATTGCTGACATTTGCTCAACTGCTGCTGGGAGTTCCTCCACACCTTTACCAAGTGTTTTGCCATTTCAGAAGCATCCAGGTATAATACAGTGTGTGGTAACATGTTCCTGCAGTGCTTAATGCATGAACTATGCCATGTTTCCCTGCCAAGCACTGTGAGTATTAGGAAGAGCTGCAGTATGAATATAAATATGGATAATCTATATTAATAATTTCTGGTTTGAAAATTAAAAATTATTTACATATCGGCTAATGAAGCTATTAAAGGTGTGCTGGTTGTGAGCATGCTCCTTTCACACACTCCTTCTCCATGTGTTTGAGTCTCTCTTACAACTCTCAGCCTTGGGTTTCTGTTTTGGAAAAGAAGTTAAACAGTCTCCATGTTACGTATGCAGCAAAAGCCAACAAGCCTGATAGAAAGGAAGTGGAATGTAAACTAGGCTGGTGGATACTGCATAGATATGAAACCGTGTGGTCTCGAAATTTTGCAGGACACACAGCATCCACATCCATATAAGGTGTATACACTGATAGATGGATAAAGGTATTTGTGAAATAACTTTCCTCTTGCTACTGTGGGTTTCACTTCAGAAAGTAGATCTTAATGCAATATTGTAAGAGTTCATCCTTTTAATCATGCCTACTAATAAACAGATTTGTATTTTGTCTAATAAGAACATTACATCTTATTATTGCTTTTAGTAAAAGAACTGAAGTCTGCTTAGATATTGTAATTCCTGGACCAGTGATGAACCATTTCAGCAAAAAAATTCAGCCTGTGTAGTGATACTGTCATAAAACTTGACATCACTGCTCTTGGCTGGGCCACTCCCCTTCTCTTCAAATAATACTGATTTCAGCAGCAGTATCTGAAGAGAAAGAGGGTGCTTTGCAGTATGAAGGTGGGTGTTACAGCTTGGCCTCTAATCCTTTACTGTGAAGTTGCTCAAGTGTGGATGGAGGGAGGAAGAGCATTTATTTCAGAGAAAGAATATTATTGCTGTATTCTTATACTGACATTGGAAGTGTTATTTTAGTGAACTGTAGGGTACACTGCAGTACACAGCTAGAGATGCTGGAATGAAGTGAAGCTCATCCTATTTGGATTTCTTCCATCTAATTTTATTTTCCAAAGCTACATCCATTCTTGGACAAAGAGGATAATCTAGACAGAGCGGAATTAATTTTTGGTCCCTGACTGCAGGGCTTGCTCTTATGGCTGGTTCTTTTTCAGGGCACAGAAATGAAACCGGAAACTCCTTGTGTCCTACTGTGTTGTACATATGCACATGGACCTATCTTAATTTCCCTTTATAAAACATTTGTTTCTTTTACTATGTGAATATCAAGTAATTGTATTCCTTTTTGCTTGTTTCTTCCAGAATGTTCTAATTGTGGAGGTAAGCTGGGTGCTTATGTCATATTGTATGTAGATAAAGTCACACAGCCAAATCATGATTGGCTGTTCTTTTTCTAAATCCTGTCTGTGTTTACACTTCTCTTGCTGGGAGGTGGTGAAGAGGGAGAGGGGTTTATTTGCTTAGTGGCCTCTCCATCTTTTTGCAATTGCTTGACAGATCAAACTACATTGCTGTCACTCTGACTGGTGCTCTGCCTTGTGATACCCAGGAGTCTTTGTTTCTGCCTCATTTGATTTGTTCTTTCTACAATTTCATCAACTCCTGTTCTTCAAGTTGTTCTATTCCTTGGAGGACAGTGAATCAATTGCAGTGATGCCCTGCATTTCTCAGATGCATGACTTTGAAATAGTGGCCCTGCATATGATTTACAGCCCCAAAGTTGTTCACAGTCTGGCTGGGAGTGTCAATCATTCCCTCAAGGCCCCCAGCTCCTGCATCCAGCTCTCCATCCAGCAGTGTCCCCAGGGGACAGCCCATCACAGAGCTGTTGCTGATATAAGTCTGTGTTCTGATAGAAGCAGTGTTCAGTTATAGAGGGAAAGAACATGTCACCTCACTGGTGACATGATTAAATAATTAAGATAGGTGATTCTCTTTGAAAATGTTGAATAAGCAACTGAGACAGCTAGAGAGCACATCAGGATCTGCCTGGCATTTCAGAACCTGTTTGTGTGTATGGGAAGTAAGCTGGACAGTGCAAAGAACTGTATACTGTTGAAATTTCTTCTCTTAGCAAAGGATGGAAAAAAACTTATCAGTCACAGAGATGACTGGTTACCTGAATAGCTGCTAAGAGCTCCAATTTACTCATTCCAGCTGCTTTAACAGAAATTAAAAATGTCCACAGCAAATTTCATTAATGCTAATTAAATAGCTGGAGGGCAGAGACAAGGTGTTGCTAATCCAACAAGCTGTTGATCCCAAAGTTCAGGATCAACAGCTGCTCTCCACAGTCAGTTTTCTAGACAGGTATCTACTGATCTCATTGGATATGGCAGCTCTGGAGAAATCACATTTGTACTGTGCTAATACAACAACTAGGGCAGAATTAGTCCTGACGTGGAGACATGGTGACATATTGTGGTCTCAAGCATAATGTGAGAAGCTGAATCCCTGCATCCTTGCAGTGCCAAGTAGAGTCGTCTCCAGTCCCAAGTTACATCCTGAGTACTTGCAACATAGCTGTTTTCAAGAGGAAGTGGACAGTCCTTGAACTGATAATTTTATGAATAGAAAGTGCTTGCTTCAAAGAGTGCAAGCTCAATTATAACCTTTTTTGGATGTGGCTTACAATGCACTGGAAAAATAAATCATCTCCACAAATAAGAATGTGAAACTTCTCAGTCATTGTCCAGATTTCCTCCTTTCAGCTTTCCTTTGTGTTTTACTTTATTTTTCTTGTTTTATAAGGATATTGTTGGAACTGGAAGGACCATGAAGGTTCTCCTTAACAATATAGAAAAATACAAGCCAAAAATGATTAAAGTAGCAAGGTGAGTAAAGCAATCACAAAACTTAGTAAGTAATTAGTCTAGTCCAGGATATTTTCCAGAGTAGATTCCCATTAAGACATCCTGCTTTAATTTGATGCTGCAGTATGAAGGAGAGCTGTGCAGAGGAGCTGCCTGAGTCACTAAGGGCAGGGTGAAGGAAAGGAGGGGAAATGTTTTGTATTGTTCTGCCTTGGCGATGATCCTCCAGCCATTTAAAGACTGGCACTGATGGACTTGGGAGGGGAATACACCCAGCTCTTCCCTGCAGTCAGGATGTTGTCAGGAAGAGAAACAGAACAAGAACAGGGACTCACATGGCTCAGAAGATTTTGATAAAGAGAATCATTTTATGTGTGTTATTCCATTACATATCTAGATTTAAATGGGGTTTATTTTATTTTATTTACAGCTTGTTGGTGAAAAGAACATCTCGGCCTGATGGGTACAGACCAGATTGTAAGTGTTCTGAAAATCTCTACTTGATAGTAGAAGTTACCACTACTTTGTCATTTGCCTTTCATCCCATTCTATGGACTGTTAGAAGCATTGTAAAATACCAGTTGTCAGTGGGTCTATGGGATGCAATGGAAGGATTTGTATAAATGTAGTTTGGAAAGCCCACCCTACTTAGATTTTCTGCAGAATATGAACTTTATTGGGAAATTTTGAAAGGGTTTAATTTTATCAATGAAAGGTGAGTGTTTTATCTTCTGTCTCTGACAAACAATATTGAAGAGAATATCCATTTCTTCTTTTTCCTTCCTCATTGCATCTCTCTGGAGGAGCTGCAGGATTCCATCTGAGCAAGAAAGGTGTTTTATTGTGACTAAACATTAACAAGTTTTACATTCTTTTATTCAGAAAAGCACTTCTGTTTTTTTTAAAGTTAGTTGTCCAAAGAAAAAACACTGATATTGTAATTAAATCCCTGTCCCTAAAAAGCAGAAGATAAATTGGGCTTTTTAAACTTTCTCCTGCTGCTCAGTTTGCACCACACCAGCACCACTTCTCTCTAAATTATTGGTCCTTATACTGTGTTATGATGAAGCTGTAAATGGAGCTATACCAAGCAATTGTCATTTTAGACTTATTTAGAATAAATGATGTAATAACAGGTATGTGGCTAAATATGAAAAGAATAGACCCATCTAGAAGAGATCAACCAGTATTTGCTACTGAAGAAGTCTCTGGTCAACTGAACTGGGGAGGAGGGTAGAAGGAGTGTAGGCAGGTGAGTACCAGGAGGCAGCATGAAGAGTTTTGATTTGAAGTGGGATGTGGGAGAGAGGGAAAATTTATCAAGTAAAAGTTACTTAAATGTTGGGCATGGCTCTGAGGTTTTAGCCCTTTTATCTAAACTATGATCCAAACATTTTGTTGTACAACTTTTTACACAGTGGAGTGTTATTTTTTAACATTTAGAACTTAATCCAGTAAATTAAGGCATATATATGACTGGATTCACTAATGTTAAACATATAAAAGAGGCAATAAAATTACTTCATGAAGGGTAACTTTATATTTATATGTACAAACTTTTGAATGAAACAAATTTTATCCTTGTTTATTCATAGTGTGATGAATTTTATAAAACATCAGATATCTCTTTTGTAAATCACTGAAAGTGGTGTAGCATTTCCTCACTTACCTAAATTTACAATTCCAAAGTACAAATAACCTCCAATCTTAAACAACTGAATAAATTTCTTACCTGGATACCTGTAGAATGTTTTATGTGGACCTATTTTTGTGTCAGTAAGATTGGGTTTTCCTCTAGTTATTTAGAGAAGAATTTGGAAATAGTCTAACTTATTTTATGTAGTGCTGATATTACAGAGACCTTCACACTCAAAAAGATGCATGTCTGTGCTTGGCTTCAGGTGTGTGAGTTGTATAATTGAGGTGCACTGCATGCATTTACTTTGTTAAGCATGTGCTTGAATCTTCATAAGGTTGGGGCTTTAATTTAAGAAGCATTTGACAAGTTTTGATAGCACAAAATACGAGCTAGATTTGCTATTCTTAGCAGAAAATATATATATCTGAAAGTTACTTCTGATTTAATATTCCACATTTTTCCATCATTACTGTGACACAGGACAATAATCTTCACACATATATACCAATGGAACTTCCAAATGCAATCAGAATGTTCCAGCTCTGATTTTGGCTTCCTTCCACAATGTACCAGTGATAATTTTATACAAAATTATCCTCTCCTCTCCTCTCCTCTTGCTATTCACATCCCTTTCACAAGTACTCTGTGACTGGAAACTGGTTATGGTGCTACTGGTGACCACAATGTCTCAGATTCAAAAGTAACATAGCCCAACTGACTACATATAAGTAGAGTTTGCTTGTTGAGAACTATGCATGAAATTAAGGGCTTACAACTGCCACTGATCTGATATTGATGGTGTTTGTTATTTGTCTCAATACAGATTATGGATTTGAAATTCCAGATTTATTTGTGGTAGGTTATGCCTTAGACTACAATGAGCACTTCAGAGATTTAAACGTAAGTTTCTTATAAAAAAAAAGTTTAAAAAATCACTGGTCTACTTTTTCCATATTCTCATAAATATCCCACAATTTTTCTCCTCTTTGGGGCCCTGTGGAAGTGTGTATTTGACATGGTTGGGATTTGGGATCCTTTCAATGAGTACAAAACTCCCTGAAAAGCCTCAAATAATCCAAAGGAGTTCTTGCTCAGCACTGTGATCAGTTCCCTCCCTCTAAGAGTTCCCTAAATTTCCATCTTTTATGAGCCTAGTTTTTCTCAGGTCCACCATTGCCAGTATGTGCAGAGACAGCAGCAAAAGTGAAACACAGGCACAGGTCAGATGGGTTGTCTGAATATTATGTTACCTGTCCCTTTTCTCAGAGAACTGAGGATGGAAAAAAGGTGCAAACCTTTCCTTTGCTTCTTCTGGTACTTCCAGGGGTGCACCTCATAGCTGGGAATTCCAAGTGGGAAAACTTGCTATAGCTAGAAAGTAAAATCAGAATTCACTTCCAGATGTCTGGAAATGAAAGAGTGTAAGATCACTAGGCTGGCCAAACCTAAGTATTTCTGAACAATTAATTAATAATTTATAATGCATTCAACCATACTTCTGCAATCTGTTCTGGTTTTTTCAGCACATATGTGTTATCAACGATCATGGCAAAAGAAAATACAGAGTCTGAAGCAATAACATCAACACCTGAATATTTATGTGAAGCAAAAATTTGACTACACTCCTTCAAGCATCTCCCAGAAAAGTGATTCAACTAGCTTGTATGTCTTTCAACTCAGTATAATAAGGGGTTTACTCTAGAGATGCTAATGAATATTTACAGATGTGAGAGGTCTTATCTCAAATGTGAAACATAGGACTTTTACAGTTACTACCTTTATTACATATTAAAATTACCACCTAAGATGCCTTTTGACTAATAACTTGTCTGCCTCAGGTCTCATTGTGAACACATCTTTTCTTTGCTCAGTTCTTCATTCCACCTATTGCAATTGCAATAATTTCACCTACTTTGCTGTGTTGCACAAGGTAGTTCAAAAGTGCCATTCTGTGCATGAAAATTATTTTACAAGATTTTACTGACTTCATCATGCTTTTAGTCTTGGTCAGATATGCTGCTGCAAAATTGAAAGCATTATTTTGACTTAATTCCACAACTCAAAAGTTTCACTGGAAGTTTTGTGTTGTGCTGCAGTTCATTACTGACTCCTCAAACAAATTTTTAGCTCCCAGAATGTGCTGAATTAGAATGAAGGTCAAAATGAACCTTTGCAAGACACTGTTGATCCAAAATTGGAAGATATCATGGTTCTGGTATGTCATGTAGCCATAGATCTGACCTGTTTAATGTGCTGAATTTTAATCAAGACAAAACAATGCCAGGCAGATTTGAATTTCTGCATGGTATCCCTTTCTTCTTGTAGCACACAAACAAGTATAAAAATGAACAGTGTTTTCCTGAGCTCATTTTCTTAACTTATCCTCATTAAGCACAAAAGTTTAATGTTAGTCAGACAATTATTCAGTTACGATTTGATTCTGTAATGTGTCTAAGTAGAGATTTCTGTAACCATCTGCCATCTTAGAGAATACAGGTCTGGCAATGCTGAAGGAGTCTTGTATGGAAAAAAAGAAAAATATACAAGACAACACAGAAAACCAGTTAATGCATGAGTGTTGTAGACTCTAGACTCCTTCCTTTGTAGATCATGCTTGAAGAAGTTTGTGAATTTTATGTACTGTATTAGCTGTGAAAAGTTTAATCCTGTATTAAATATAACTGTTCTTAACAACTTCCTGAGGAAAAACAATGCAAAGTAAGTAGCTGTGTATCAGTAGCTTTGCTCTGAACTGTGAGACACAGATTGTTACTAGCTGCAGATTCCTATAAACTAATAAAGAAACGTTAAGAATGCTTATTTCATTGCACAGTTGTTTTCCTGCTTCAGCATATTTTGCACATCCCATAAAAGCTTTTTAAAAATATGAATTTATCTGATAATCTAAACATACCATATGTATGTATTCTGTAGCTGATAAGCTGTGGTTATTTGGATAAAATCCATGCATGATGTTAAGGGAATGAAAAAGGTCAGAGAATTATGGTGATTCCTAGAGAAATGCCTTAGCTCATCTCTAGTCCTTTAACTTGTATTTTAAAAGAGTTCTGTTGAAAAGCTTTCCCTCAGAGTAAATTTCTTCTGTTTTAGAGAACAATCCATACCCTTACAGACCATAGAAGAAGTTGCTGAAGAATTTAATCCCTTTTTGTTTGATAAGAGTGGTAAAGTTTTTCTTAACGCTTCTGACTGCTATTAGTAGTAATGACGCATTGCATAGACTGACATGCTTAGACTTAGGCTTAGTCCAAGATATTCATTAGGTTATTTCTTTTTTTTCCTCTCTTCTTAAAAAATTACAGTCTTCACCTTGGATAATTCACAATTATCAGCTTTCAGCATCAACAATAAAAATTTAGGTTTTATTGTGAATGAGTTTGTGTGAAATTAGTGTGAAAATATGAAGAACTGTATATACAAATAATTCAGACAGTGTTAAAATTGTTTAATTGGAAGACTCAGATTATTAAAATCTACATGCTTAAAAGAAAAGACCAGATTTCTAGATATTATGAGAACTGGAATGTTTCTTCAAATTCTGTTTCCTCCTGTCATATTTTTAACACTGTGAAAAATGACCATACAGATTTCATTAGTGAATTTGCATGTGGAATTATTCTGCGAATAAAGGGGGTGTTCTTTTCTAATATCATATTGAATTTTGTACATATATGTATCTGAGCATCTCCAGGTATCTCAGCTGCCATCCACATTATTCTTTGCTTGAAGCACTTCCACCTGAAAAATCAGCTTTCAATTACTTTAACAATCAGACTGAAAATCATTAGTGTAACTAGGGGAACAGGTAATCATGTACTGTTATATGACTGATTAATATTGAGCTTATTGGGCACTCTTTGGTGTGCTCAGAGAATTTATTGTTTTGTGTTTTGGTAATATTGTTGATTCCACTCCTTTAACTAAAAGGCCACTAAGTAATTTTTCAGTTGTGGTTGCATGCTATGACCCACAAAGCTATGTTTGGGTTTTTTAATCAGTTCAGCAACATCTGTTACGTAAGAGGAGATGTTCTCTAAAATTTATTCTTTTCCTTGGACATTGTGTTTATGGTCAGGCTTCCATTTTTATCTCAATTTTTCTTCTTGTGCACTTAATACCAGCATCTTTTCCCCACCTGTTGAATACAAATTAGCATGGACAGTAATTTTGTTTAAAGTGACGTATAGACTTTTCAGCCATCAGGGTTTAGACTTTATTCATTTATGTCTGATTCCAAAGTATCCATAAGTGTTTTCCTGGAGAGAAGGTAGGAAGAGTAATTACTGCACCTTGGTTAACTGAATATAAATTAGGATTTCATGTTGCAAGCCATAGATATAGTCTGACTATCTAGTAATTTCTGCCTAACAAATAGAATTAAAATAGTCTCAGAGGTCTGTAATTAAGATATTTTTTCAATTGAATCAGCTGGTTTACTTTTCTAGTTAGAGCTGAACAAAGTAGGAAACTGATTGATTGATTGATTGCTATTAGTGTTATATTTCTTGGCCATGTTATGTTCATCCTCAAAGTGTTATTAATAAATTTGCATAATGTAAAATTCCAACATGTCCCCTCAAAATACAATACTAACTGTATGTGATACTCAGCTGCAGAACACTTTCTGATCTGTGAAAGTGTGAAATCATCACAGTTTATACGCTGTGTTTATGCACAGTTTTGTATATTAAAATGCTTAACTTTGAGATGTACTTAAGTCATGAGTCATCACTATTGATCTGTGGTAAGAATAAGATTTATTTAAATACAAATATTTGCAATTCTATATTTTAATATTTCTTTATATTGAAGAAGATAAAGGCTGAACCAGCTTCTCTGCATATCTTGCATTTTGATTTTCTCAGATAGCAATGAAACCCCCTATTGTAATCAAACTTGTTTCACATGCAAACTGTAATTAATTCTAGCTAGCTTGAAAACTTTAATTTCCAGTTTCAGTTAAAAATGAGAGTCTCAAAAGAAAAACATTACAGGGTTGCATAACAAGAGACAGAAGGATTCCTTGCCCTTTTGTAAAACTATCATATTTGAAGATGCTGTTTCTTTCTTTTACCTTTTAAAAGTTTTCCAAAACCTCTCATAGTCTAAATATAAAGATCTGAGATGAATGCAATGTCAGTGTACTGAGAAAGATATCCTAAATTCTTCTTCTCTTTAAATTGGATGGAGAAATGTAGATACATAAGTTAACGTAGGTGTGTGTTACCTCGGTTCAGTCTTCCAAAAGTTACTCTGGCTGTACCCTCCATGTGACTAAGGCAGCTGAGTCAGCCTCCTCCTGTGCTTGTCTCCATGTCCCCATTTGAAACCTTGTAGGTGAGAGAAGCAGGGTGTCAGGTGCTTTAGCCATCCTTTCAAAACATTGAAAACACAGCGGAGGGAAAATAAAAGCTTGTATCCTAATTTCATACACTTTTCACAGTTCTTTTTTTAGTGCCACATGCCTTTGTCTGGGAAGGCAGCCTTGAACAGCTATCCCAGTACCTGGCTGAAATGTTTGTACCACTTGAGAATGACTGCTGTGCTTGCCAGGGATATTCAAAGCAGTGACAGCACCACAGCAACACTTGGACAGCTAGAAAAGTTTGGTCACAAGCCATAAACTATACTGTGGGATTATTTTGTAGTGTTAAAAGGATAATTGCTTGTGAAGAAACAGCAGTATTATGCACTTATAATTGGTTTGAAGGGAAAGACACCCCAAATAAGGAAAGCAATACAGACAGACTGAGGAAAGGCTGTCCTTTATTTTGCAGAAAATACACAAAATTTTTGAAAGGGAAAAAAGGAGACATCAGTTCTGGGTGAGGCTCTGCAAGCCCTTTGAAGGCTGTCAGCTGTAGTTTGGATGCTTGTGCTGTTACGCAGAACTGGCTGACCCTGTCTTCCTTTCTGTCAATAAACCAGTGCTTGGTTTCTTTGTACCTTCACATGGACACATGTGTATCCGCAGCTGAACTTTTCACTGCTGCCAGCAGTTGTTTTGGAACACCAAGGGGTTTCCAAATGCAGAAATTTAGACTCAATTAGTTGAATAATTGCTGTCAAGGCTCGTTCCTTCTGCTGCTGCATGGAGCAATGAGCTACTGACAAACTATTGGAGTCTGCAGTACAGCGATTTATGTCTAATACTAAGTTTTGGATACTGTTCAGAGGATGACCTTTAGTTTGTTTCAGGAGTGGCATGAAAGTTTTCCTCTGTTTTTCCACAGCAGAAAGAGACAGAAATTACTTGTAGTACTGTAGTTCTAGAAGTCTGTCTTCAACCAGCATGATTGGGGGCCTCTGATAATGGTAAGAAAGTGTTGTTTCTAATCATGACACAAAATTTCATTAAATTACTCATTACTGCCTGTGTTCAAAAATACATTTTTCTTACTGAGAGTAGAGCTTTGTACATTTATCAATGCTGTCATGAGATTACACAAGGGACAGCTATTGCTGGAAGACATATGTTATGCCTTCATAGCTATTGAATTTGCATAGAAAAACATTGGAATTTAGCTAAGATGTTTTGGAAGCAATGCCAGGAAACACTTATCTTGAAGTGCCTTTTCTCAGCAATCTTCCATTTTCCTAAATTTCTACAAGTATTAATCTCTTTTCTTCAGATTTCTTACCTCCAGTTACACATTGGTTTTATACTCTATTCCATCATAATGTCTTTTAAGCAAGTCCTTACCAGTCCTGTAGTTTAAAGGACATTCACAAATGCCTGTTATTTACCAGGAAACTTCAACCCTTTTTTTGAAACATTCAAGATCAGATTTTCAAAGGTGCTTATGCATCCAAGAAAATTTTATGGGATTTCACCTGCTTGAATAGGTGCCTAGCTGCATCCTTCAGTACCATATACTTTTGAAAATATGTTTCTTGACGAATCTGGATAGACTGAGAAAATATGCAGTAACATAACTTGGAATGAAAGCAGGAGGATATAACAACAAAAAGAAGAGGCAAGCACAATCATGTCATTCTTTCACATGGGCATGAATATCTCTTTGTCTTTCTGAATCATGCAAGTGTTTAATTGATTTATTTGTTTGGGTTTTCATGAGAGTTATTGTAGTAGTGTTTCTGCTCTTTCTTAGGAAATTTGGAATGTAGTGAGAATGCTCAAAATTTAACTTTTGGAAATAATAACTCAGCATAAACATTAGCACAGAGAGACAGAAAACAGATCAGCTACAAAGGAATACCCAACAACAGTGGCAGAAGAGTCAAGGAGAGTAAAAAATGAAGTGTCACAAAAAAACCTTAAGCCATAGAGTATTGATTGGAATGGATCCACCAGTGGGTGTACAGGCAAGATGTAAAAATTGGTTCAATATGACCTGCAGAATGAGTGTGGAGGTGGGAGCTTTCTGCTGAGAGCCAGTTTGGTCCTTGGCCCATTTGTGCCATATGGGAAGCAAAACCATAGTAAACTGAAATTGTTTATCTTCCTTCAGAAGCATTTCAGATAATAACATGATGCTATTAACTGTGTTCAAGCTTTTAACTACGAACACCCAACTGGAGCTTCCAGTACTATTTTGCCTAAACTGTAGACAAGACAATCTCAGCCCTGTAAAGTCAATCTCAATCTCTCTGTTTTAAATTTAATCAAGTACTAGACACCAATGTTACTCCATCTGTATAGATTCCAGTGTTGTTCCTCACAGCCTCTCTGTCCTATTTTCTGAGATTTTAAGATCTTTCCATCTCAAGCTTTACCCCTATTCCTTACAACTTAATTTATCCCAACTCCTCTTAGCCTATAAACCAATTTACAAGCTTAGCA